GAAGCCGGCGCTGTGCCGTATGTAAGTGTGAGAAGTTACAACGTTTTTAATTACATCTTGTGAAGATTCACGCCAAAAATTACGCTGCAATGATCTTTGAGATTCATCAAGAAGAACTTGCCTATACATTTTAGTGATGTCGGCAGTTATTGCATAATAAAAGGTGCGAAAGCGTACTAAGATGGAAAACAAATCCTCTTGGATAGTTGGGCCAACCAACAAGGTATCATTTAATGATAATCCTGACGAACCTTTACATGAGGCATCAAAAACCACTCTTAGTTTGGTTGTGATACTGCTTTCCTTAAAAACTGCGTGGTGCGGTAAATAGTAAGACACCCTTTCATTTGTAAGATCCTTAACTTCTCGCATATGATTTAAGCTAATATACTCCTGCATAAAATTGCGATATTGTGCGTAAACAGCTGGTTGCATCGACAAACGCCTTTCTAGACTGAAAAAACGACGTTTTGCGGTTTCTTCTGTACTACTCAATCTTTGAAGTTTTTCTTCATTTGTAGGCAATTTGACTATGAAACGGCCTTCAGCGTTACGACGAACATTCTGTTGAAAATGCATTTCGCATGTTCGTTCAACGGGATTATACTGTGAGGTGTTGTTAGAAGAAATTTCATGCTCCACTTCCCAAAATCTGGAAATAGACTTGTTTAAATCGTTAATTGAGGAAATATGACACACTGAGCTCGCTATCGTTTTATCTGAGACCTTATGAGCTATGCCAGAGATTACCCAACCAAGCTTAGTCTTTTGTAGGGTAGGATGCGCCTTGCAAGCCTTGATTTGACCTACGCAAATAAGCTGCCAAAATAGTTCAGCCCCAATAAGCATATCAATTTCACTGGGAAGATTGAAGTTAGGGTCAGCTAGTACAATATTTGATGGGATTCTGAAGTTTGAAATAGGACAGAATTCTTGTGGTAATCTCTGTGTAATTTTAGGAAGAATTACACATTCAATATTATCAATGTATGCATTTATTCTAGAACGAAAACTAACGTCAACTATCCTTTTTGATTCAAATGTTCCCTCTGCTACTCCAGAGATTGACATATGCAATGAACGATCATTAAGTTTTTAATTTGCTTACAAAGTTTTCAGTAATGAAGTTTAGCTGAAATCCACTATCCAAAAGAACTCTACAACCATGGGTATTTCCATTTTGATCATATACGTCCACCATAGCGGTTGAAAGAAGAACCTTGGAGGAGTTATTGATTTGCATACATTGAGTGACCACAGATGGCGAAGAGGAAGCTGCATTTATTGATTTAGATGCAAGACCTGTTGATTGATTATCATTTTCTGATTCGTCAGCCTTTGACGACTCGAAATGTAATAGAGTGTTGTGTGCTTTTCCACACTTGCGACATGAACTAGACGAACAATTCTTTGCTTGATGCCCTCCTGTCCTCAAGCAATTAATACATAAATGAGACTTCTTTATGATTTCGAAACGTTTTTCGACAGGGAGCTTGCGAAACGATTCGCACTGGAATATAAAATGCTTGTTTTTGCAATGAACGCAAGATTGATTAGACGTAGTTACGTGTGCACTAGGATTCTTGGCCTTCTGCGAATTATTCGATGCATCGGAGTTCATGCGTGTCGTGGCTTTATTGAATATCGTTTCCAATGCTTGACATCGTTTTGATAAGAAATCAGTGAGTTGTTTAAAGGTGGTTATCGTAGTGTCTGTACGACTTGTCTCCCATTCCTTTACTGTAATAGAATCAAGTTTAGTCATTACTAAATGCACCATATCATCCCAGGCGTCTACAGGCCTTTGAAGCGTCTTAAGGGCCCTGAAATGCTTAAGTATGTTATCGAGTAAACTACGCAATGTCGTGCAATTTTCCTTATAAATTGGAGCAATTTCGAACATAGCTTTAATGTGAGTTTGAACTGTACGCCGTTTGTTATCGAAACGCTCATTTAATAATTGCCATGCTTCTGTATAATTATCTGTAGTGATGTCGAAAGATTTGATAACTTCTGCAGCCTTATCCTTTAATGAAGAACGCAAATAGTGAAATTTTTGAATAGCGGATAGATTTTCATTTGTATGAATGAGTTTTTGGAATGAATCATGAAAGGTGTACCAATCTTCATATGACCCCGAGAAATTAGGCAGTTGAATCTTTGGCAATCAAATGTGTGATTCTACGTTATTTTGTTGGGTTATCTGATTATGATTGTTTCCATTTACACCTATTGGTTGTTCCAAACTAAGACGCTGATCATACAAAGACATGAGTTGAAAATACGCTTCTTCGAAACGCGCACGTTCATCTGAATGCACCGCAATTACCTCAGCACTAGTGTCCGAAGCTAAGCATTCAATTCGCGATTGCACTTCATCAAATTGCTCATATAAATTTGCTAATTTCTTTTTACGTTCATTTAATTCGAAGATCGTAGCATGTGCGGATTGCGGAGAT